TTATGTCATGCAAGTGTCATTATAAAATTAAATTTCTTAGACTATTTTTCCACAAAAAGTTGCCAGATGACAACATAATTTTAAGAATGAGATCTCCTTAAGTTGTAAGACTGTCACAAGAAACCCTAAGTTAAATGTTCAGTATTAGTTATTCATGGACAATACTAAATATTTAGTATTTAGTTATTCACGGATACGTAAGCAATTATTACCCTACTAGAACCTGATGACCTCTGAATCCACTCTTTTGACCTTTATTTTCGTTTATGTGTTTGCTTTAGGAGTTCCTCACAAGTCTGCAGCATTCATAACAAGCTGTGTTAATTTATATAATAAAAAAAAAATGTATTTCCAAAGTGTTTTTACTTACTTGCTGCTGGGATGGAGCAGGTTCAGAAGGCAAACTGTGAGAGGATCGGCTACGAGGAGGCGGCTGTGGGGGTTCCAGGCTTTGTGGAGCACTTGCCTGAGATGGATGTGATACCACAGGAATCAGGGGCTCCTGCATCCTTAGCACAGGAGTGCTGGGCTGAGCAGGGGCAGCAGCCTGAGGCTTTAGTGGTTCAGGAAGCAACGGTGAGCCTAAAAGTACATTTGGAGTGATTTTCATCATAAAGAATTAACAGAAGTCCTTAAGGATGGCACGATGAGGAGAAATGGCTGTGGAAGCACCAGAGAGAACTGCAGGTGGCTCTAAGAAGAGCAAGTGTTCATGGCAACAAGATTGGAAATCATCAGAAGCTCAGCAGATCTCCATCACAAATTATTATTATAGTTTAAACTGAAAGAGCAAGTTTAGATTGGATATTGAGAGGAAATTCTTCTGTGTGAGGGTGGTGAGGCCCTGGCACAGGTTAGTCAGAGGAGCTGTGGCTGCCCCATCCCTGGAAGTGTCCAAGGCCAGGTTGCATAGGGCTTGGAGGAACCTGTTCTAATGGAAGGTGTCCCTGCCCAGGGCAGGGGGGTGGAAGTGGATGATCTTTAAGGTTGCTTCCAACATAAACCATTCTGTGACTCTATACAAAACAGAGAACCAGAAGCCATGTCATTCCTAAATGTACCTCAGCAGTATTGAAAAAGTATTTTGGAAGTCACTATTATAAAATGTATATTTTAATATTAATGAAGGGGGTTTGTAAACTGTGAATTTAGGAAGTGGTTTTAAGAGTCAAACAAATTCTATTCCAGATCTTACAATTACAGAACTACCAATCCAGAGAATGTCCAGTGATCAACATGAAGGGACACATCACCGTGCCCAGACCAAAATACTGCACTCTGATCATAGCTTCTCCTGATACCAGGAAATCTACGGGTCAAGATCTCAGGTGATCTTGAGATTATTATCTGGTGAGGGTTTACAGTACTCGTGGATGATTAACAGAAACTGCCAAGTGTTACTACATTCAAGAATCTTAATTTCTAGTGAAAAGTGGAGACATCTATTGGAAAACAATGCGTTCAAACCAGAGACCGTATCTCTTGACTGAATTGTGACATTTATATTTAACCTACAAAGGAAACTCACCCCGTGGTGGTTCAGCTGGTTTGGTCTGAGTTTCGGGTACTGGTCTTCCCCCCGAGGAACGGACATGGCTTTGTGGGGCACTGATAACTCCAGCTCGAGGAGGAACAGTCTGACATGATAAGGGGTAAAAAGAAAGTATTTTAGCTCTACTTTGGATCTGTAGTCATCTACTGCTAAATGATCTGGGATAATCAGGACTCTGTGAAAAATAAATGATTTGATAACAGCTGCTGAACTAACATCCTATGTCCATGTAAAAGCAAAGAATATATTCAAAACACAATGAAGGTTCAGTTCAAAGCAAAGAATTTTTACAACTGTTTTCAGCTTTATATAAATATTTACCTGTGCACCAACACTAGAAGCAATTATTATTTTGCTAGTATCAATAAGATAATTTACCTAAGCCTGTGAATTGCTGTAAGCAACACAACCAACAACAGCAGCTACTTTGTTCCTCAACAAACAGTACTGATAAAACACACACTCTGCCTCATTTGAAGGCTGGAGAGAAATAGGAAGTTATTCCAGATTACAGCTGAAATGAGTGAATTACAAACACCACATTGAAACCTGGATACAAGGCACTGGAATAAAAATGCCCAGACTTCAGGGGAAAAAAAGAGGCAAGCATCGTGTTTTTTCAGATCTTCTATTACATTTGTTTGTTTGTTTTGTTGAGGTTTAGGGGGGGTTTGTTTGTTTTGCTTGGGGATTTTTTTCTGTCTTGATAATATGAACAAAAATTCTTGCACTTATGCCAGTTTCAAGACACCGGTGAAGTCTCTTTTGTGCACCAGATTTTCTTATTTCCTGTGTATACCAGGTTTTCTTTATCCAAATTTTAGAAGAAGCTGTTTTATATTTCTGGAAAAATAACAAAAAAGAGCCAAGATCATGAATAATGTCTTTGAGAAAAAATGAATTAGCACAATATTACTTCAATGGACTACTGCAAACAGTAGTCCAAAACAGTAGTTTGCAGTAGTTGTAATACTGGAATATGCTGCAAAGTTTACAGAATTATCAGCAAACAATCCCATTTCTTAGTAATTCTTTAATGATAAGCCAAACACAAAAGCTCCTACATGCTGCTGTTAATAAAAACAAGGCAGATGTTTTCCATCTCTTGAGTTCTTGCTAGAGGTGAAGCATTTGAGCACCCATAAATCCTTATTTCCCTTCCTTCAGTTCAGTTCCATAAATAATGAAACACAGAACTAATATTTGTTGTACTAGTTGAATGTTTCCTTTTTACATGAAGACCTTTATCAAAATTAATTTTTAAAACAAGGTACAAAATCCCACAACGCATCAAATAATCATAATATATCAACTGCCCGGGTAATCCATTAACGGCTGCCAGGAATTAACTGGTGTCAGGATTTACATTTCAGCATAAAAGATAATACATTTTATCATACCAAATCAGCAAGGACATATAATACAAAGAGTAACTTTGCAGTTATTTGAAAGGAGATGTGTATTATTTGGGAGCCTGTTGCATAATTGTAAAGAGTGCAAAACAATCAAGTCACTTCCAGTATATATATATACATATACATTCTGGAGTATTTTTACTCAACAGACAAGAATTTCTGAGGGAATTAACTCATAGAAGCTGTAAACTGATCAGCCAATTTTGCAAATTTCTCACATCTGTTATGACTTACAGAAACATTGACCTAACAAACAGCATAAACTTAGGAGGAGAACTATTGTAAGACAGAATACCTACCGGTCTGGTCATGCCTGCTGCAGGTGGAGGGTGACTACGAACTGCAACAGATATTAGAGATTGTTGACTTAGAACATATTTCAAAATCAACTTCTCTCTTTATTATAATTAGTACAAAAGCATGTAAATGTATTACCTAAGTTATCTTTTCTTTGTGTTCCAGGACTTTTTTGTGCTTTGAAGCATGGAAAAAAAATTAGATTATCTGTGTTAGATAAGCCACAAATGGGTATTAGATGGCAATGTCACATTACCACTAATGAGAATGGGAGCAAAGAGAGACCAGTGATTTTTTAAAAAGTTGTTACATATCACAGTCTATCCATCAGCTGTCACTATAACACACTCCTATTCCGTGGCACACATGGAATAATTTGACCCTTTTAATTACAAATTAAGTCAAATTACCTCCTGTTCATTGCAAGGTAAAGATGCCCACCTGTACAGGTGCCCTGTGTTCTCAGTCATGCTAGAAGTTGTTTTGTTTTGTGGTGTATTCTGCAGATGTTCTAACAGCAGTCTTTAAAACAAAAAGAGCTGATATAACATAGTTCCTGGCCCTTCTCTCTAAGATAAATCTCTTAGACCACCAGCCTCACTGTGGCCATGCTGATGCTAATGACAGCCTTGTCACTATAATGCAACATCCAAGTTGGGAAGTGCAAGAGATGAAAAAACTACCTTTAGCTCAGACAAGTGCACAATTTTTAACAAGCCAAGAGGTTTGAGATTCTGGCTTGTGTTTCTGTGGCTTATTTCCCAGGAAGGCAAAACCACCATGCCAGTGACACTAAGTGGAAGGAATACTCTGGTGCATAAGACAGCTTCTGGGTGTCAGATAACCTCAGAACCACTGGAATGGGTTTCTGGGCACAGCTCTCAGTGATGCAACTCCCACCTGGAGTAAGCTGGTGCCAGTTTACCCTTCTTGAGGCAGGAGGATGGAGTGGATAGTCACCAAAAGGTCCCTTCCAACCTTGACTATTCTATGCATAGGGTGATTTTGCCAATTTATAAAAATAAACCAGCAATATGGCCAAAGTTAATTGTAGAATACAGGAGGACATCCTGACTGTGACTATATTAGGACTTGTATTGCCATACCTATATTTGTTGCAAAGACCAAATTCCTGTGGTGATAAGAAGAAACCCAAACCCCTGAGTGTGCTGGCATGGCTACAGCAGGACCCATCCAGCACTATTCATACATACTCCAGTTAGAATGTGCAAGAGAAATGCTTCTCATAACTGTATATGACACACAGTTAGCTATCACTGTGCTCTTTAGAAAGAGACAAAATATTAAATTGTAGACTAAATAGTTTAAATGGAACTTTCTCTCTCCAAAATACATGAACGTATGTAGTTATTTATGAAAAGTCAGGCTCCCAAAATTCCAGGTTTAGTTTCAGGTATAGCAGTCACTCTAGTGACCAGTCAGCACCAGATTCTTCTGAGAGTCAGTCTGGAAAGCATTCTTGATTAGGACACTCTAAGTTTTCACTTCATTTTTCATAAATGCCTTCTATAACAATTCCCACCATCACCGAAAACCAAGAAGCAACTTGGCTGTCTGAAAACTATGTTAAATAAAAGAAGAAAGATTCCATGTGATAAATACTTTCATGAAACTACCTTTACTATCACAAGGGCAATAGTATTAATCAGGTACTAAATCAGAATTCTGTTTCTAAAATACAAAAATTGTTATGTTACCTTCTACTTCTCTCCTAGCTACCCCAGGACTGGGAGGAGCTCCAAGACCTTTTCAGAGAAAGAAGAGAAGCTGTACATTGCATAAGAAAAGCAGCAGATTGAGAAAGCAAAACCAGAAAGAACACCACCACGAGAGAGCTGTACACAACTTAACACTGGCCTAGCTGGATTACAGTCACTTGTAGGAGATAATTGTTTGTGGCAGCATGGGGAACCAGACTGGTGTGAATTATAATTCAACAAGTATGCTCATGTTTAGTAACATCCATTGTTTGAATTCCATATTACAGCTGAAAGAGAATTTCATTGCTTCAAACTATTCACTCTCCACAAATTTTTGTACATTTGGTATGATCTTATATGTTGGTGTTGAACCTCTCCTAAAGCAGAGCATGTGCCTGCACTCAAACACTGGGGAGTAAACAGGTACATCAAACACACTCTGCAACATGTCATTTAGAATCCTAAGTAATCTGTTTCTGTCACACTCCCTCTGAGTAAGCAACTCGATGGAAGAAATGTTTCCCACTTTCTATAATGTATCCTACAGAACTGTATCATTATCTCCAAGCAGCGCTGTGTACTCGGGAGAGCTGTATCACCTGGTGTTACAGTTCACACTGAGAGAAAGCAGGCTTTCAATCATGCATAACCACGCCGAGTTGTTCTATTTCTGCAACCTGATCGAGCGTATACTGGGTCTCTAAAATTGTACGGTAAAAACATGGCATGGCATAGACAGTATGCAAGAGAAATCCTGAAGGAAAGAGTAACTGGTATCTGGCAACTCTGGAGTGGCTCGAGTCCAGAGGAAGAAAAGGAGCCAGTGCTCAGGAAGCCTACCTGAAAATCAAATTCTGCCTTAGTGCTGACACAGCCTCCTGCTTTCTCATCGTATGCCAATGTGTGGGATCTGCTCAGAGCTCTCTGTGATCTGTGAATTCTGTCAGATATGGGTGGAGGTGTCACTCGGAGTGGGCAGAGTGAAGGCTGCAGATGAGGCTGGAATGTGATTGTCTCCAGAGATACCAGATCTATGGTTTGGCTGAACATCTGGTTCAAAGACATGACATCCCAGCATATGTTATTTGTTGTGGGTGAGCTCCAGGCTCTGCCAATTCCCATTAGATTTCCACCCAAAAGTTCCTGACCGCAAAGTTCTCTGTGGGAGAAGCAGCAGTGAAGGAGCACAGGGGGGAAATTGCCCAAGAACATTCCACTGCTTGCAGGTCATAGATCTGCCCTTTTCCCATGCAGCCCAGAGAAACCCCTGGGGAGAACAGAAAGTGGGAAAGACAATGGGAAGCCCACTTGCCACTGGAGGAGTATCAAGGGAGGTGGAGAGCAGCCCAGCAGAGCACAGGACACTCCTCTGAACCTTTGCTAGTCACAGAGACATAAAGCTGAATGTTCATCTCAGATGGCCATGGACACAAGGAAACCTCTCTCTTCAAGAGCAGGGAACTAGTTTGTTCATTCCACAGATCTCCTGAACCTTCCCTTCCTTCCCACAGCTCAGCTCACATTTTGAATAGGCATTGTCAGCATGGTTTTGTTAAGCATATCTTGTTTTATGCAGGATGATGACTAAAGCTACTGCACCATACAGAGGAAGGTTGCTGGGCACCAGGATTTTAGAAGGTTTTGTAAATTTAAAAATATTCCATACATGGAAGTGAAAGGGCATAAAGGGCAAAATACCTGAAATTTCACTTACTAGTAACATCCTTCAACATGTTAAAACAAAATTATGGTGCTGGGATCACAATAGGCAGTATAGGAATATTTTAATCTTATGCACAGTGAAAAATGTACATCTGAACCTGAAACACATTTGTGGGTCTCATTTTAAACTGACTGTTGTCTGTCTGGAGTTTGAAATCTCTACTGCAGCTTGACATAGGACTTTCCAAGAAAAGATATCACGTAGTTGTTTTAAATAGTATTTTAAGGAAAGGGGTTGGATTTACACAGAAACAGCCTGTAACTTATGCCCTGACATCCTTCAGACAAACACTGCATGTTTTGCAAAGATGACATTTAATGGAAAATAATGTAACCCTGACCTCCAATAAAGTAAAACGTGCATATATATATATGTGTGTTTATACATACATATGAAATCCAGGCCCCTTGCCTGCATTTGGACAGTGCATTTACTGTTGTAGCATTAAGGCTTCTTGTTTTCTCCATCACTCAACATTCCTTCTTCAGCAAGAAGAAAGGTGCTTTTCCCATCTTTAAACAAAAAAAGCTTTTTCAAACTGACTGCCATATCCTGATGCACCCCAACAACCTGGACTCTGCTCTGCAAAACGAACCCCAAAGCTACAGGTGAAAAATAAGATGTGGAATGGTTCTTGCAGGGCGAAGTTTAATGAGGGACTATAAATAGCAGAGTAATCTAATCAGTACTTGCTGCTTGAGTGCAAGTGTTTTCACAGCTTAACATACTTGCATTTCTTTTAATGCCAACTGTATTACTGCATTCTCTAGGTTCATTTTATTTATTTGGAGGATAATCACAGTGAAAATGTAATGCATTTTACCCAAATTATTGCATATACTGAAAACGCTGTGTACTCTCTTAAGCCCATTTTAACAGTTTAAACCAATGATAACTGCAACAATCAGGAAAAATCTGACTAGTACTATTAAAGAAAAAAAACCCAGCTGCAAATGTTATTTTTTAACTCAATTGACACTTAGCAGCCTTTATAATTTTTAATGTTCTGTAAGAATTTAATCTGTAATGTATTAAAATAGTCTTGGGTAAACAGTGTGACATTTTAATTTTTAACTATGAACAACTGAGAGCTTACAGTTCTGTGAAAATTTTTGGTATTACCGTATGAAAAGTCTGCACTTTGTTAGGCCTTCCAATGAGTGCAGAACCTCATTTCCTTAAATGTCAAATATGACCAAATTCTAAAACATTTTGATGTCCAAATCCTCCTCTCATCTTCAAAGCACACTGAGCTATTAAAAAAATGTTATGGGCATTGAAGGGAGTAAAGCACTTGCCAAAAAAAGGTCAAAACACAAAGGGGGGTAGGGGGAAGTAACATTTAAAATGCACAACATGTTAAAGATGTGACCAATGTCCCTTTGCATGTGCTGCAGAAGTCTATAACCAAAGTTTCATGCACTTATACAGTACACAGGGTTATTTTCACAGGGCTTTAGGAGCCTTTCTTCTAGGGAAGAGAAATAGGTGCCCTTTCCCCAAGCAGAGTAACCCACTAGGACACTTATTCTGGTTCTAGCCCTGTGCTGAGCTCAGGTACCGTTGAAAAGGAAAGTATTATGCATTATACATGTACACCATGAGTGGAAAATGAAGAGGATAGAAAAGGTGAAGAACTTTAGGTCAGAATAATATATGAAAAAGAAATATACTACAATCTCAAATGACTGCATAAAAGGCAAGTTTTATGCAAGTTACAATTTTTTATGGAAAGCTGTGTTGGGTAAGAGGATAAAAAGAGAAGACTAGTCTTGGTACAATTGAGACAGACTAGGCAAACAGGATTGTGTCAGTGCACATAAAGCTGTACAGGACTGAAGTACAATGAATTATATCTCACCTATGTTGAGTGTAATGTATAAACTATTTCCTAAAACTTCTGCATTTTAACTCATTTGAATTATTATACCTTTGGCACAAAACCCTACTCCCCTCCATAGTATTTAGGAGCCACATACATTTTTGCCTGACCTCAGAGTAAATTGGTTGATATTTATAGACTATGTAAAACAGTTTATTTATTTTCCGAGATTGCTCAAAACTTTTGAATCATTTTCCCCAAAAAAATTCTTTCCTACCAACCGAGGGCTATTTCAGAGAAGTATTTCAGAGCCATGAGCAGTTTTCCCCCTATCCCATGTATTGATGAGCTGATTTAAGTCCAAGCAGGACAGCTCAATGTGTGACAAGGAATTAGGGGAGAATTATGTCAGGATTTTGTTATTTTGTAAAGACCTGTTGCTCTCCTTCAAAGTAACAAGATAAACTCCTTTCCTAACTTTGTGTTTCTGAAATACACACTAATTGCAGGAACTATGGAGGACATTTCATGTCTCTAAGGAAGGGCTTAGGAGCACATTCCAGACTTGGAAGCAGAAAGTAAATTACCCATATATCAGTGTTCAGCACGGAGACAAATACAGCTCCATGATTTGGAGATTTCTGTTAATTGGGGAAACTGAGCCAGATCAGCAGTAGCTTCAATTTAAACAATTAATTAATGGATAATTACTGCAAGTAGCTACAATTACAAGCCATTTAATTATGCTCCTTGACATAGCTTGTGAGGAAAAAAGCTCTCCTTTCTACAACTACAGATAAGTTCCAGCTTCCACAGAAAAGTCAGTTGGGTGTATTCCGACCAGGACAAAGTAATAAAAACCTGGGACAGCTTTCATCTCTGACTATAATGTACCAGTTTCTGGACAAATATTATTTCACTAAAAAGTCAGATGTAATTCAGAGATGGGGACAAACCCCAAGACGGAAATTATATTGACATTCCAGAGTTATCCATTTCTATGACATTAAGAATGACCCATTTTTATACCTTTGGAAATCATTAAGTATTGTCACAACAGATCACCACAGCAGTTTTGCTATGCAGTCACATTGGAAAACAATTAAAATCATTACCTCCAAATTCTTTTCTAGCAGGTGCAGGACTCCTACCTCCTGACAGTATTTTAGAAATGAATGCAGCAATAATGAAAAATATCAGTACAGTAGGAGGGAAGAGAAAGAATGAGAAAGTTAAAAATTACAAGGGTCAGCTGTTATTAACTATGTTGCCCATATGCTTCTGAACATCCAGTTTCTTGTAGTGCTCAATTGTTCACCTTTTCAGATGATCCAAATGAAGTCTACATTAAAAATGTGGACATGATAAAATGTGTACAGACAGATGCCAAAATTAAAGAAATATAAATCAATGAATGCACGAAATTATTTATATTTAAAAATGAAGATGCTATAAAAAATGAAGATGTTGACTAAACATTGCTGTAGGAAGCCCACATTTTTAAAACTGTGAAAATAAGTTTATAAAAAACTTAATTCACTAAAAATATTTAAATGGTGTTGAAAAATGCTGTTATTTCCCGCGCTGTTATTGCTATTAAATGTACCAACTAAACATTTTGGTCCCAAACTTTAA